TACATGTTTATTCAGAGAAAGTACGTTTTTGTGTCAGATTTCGTAACTTAATTAATAGTTAGCACTAATTAATTAGCATATTTGAGGTCACCCCCGGGAACCATTAAGATTGACACTTAGATCGTGAAAATCCGATCATTATAACAAAAGTTATTCAGGGTGATATCTTTTTTTTTTTGCTGACTGTACACCCCCGCTGGTTTGTCAGCTCCAAGGATGAATCTAAACAATCTTTACAACATCTCAAACAAAAAGAGAGATTTTGAAGATGCTGATTGAATCTTTTGTCTCTGTCATCTATGATATATAGCTATTTCATCTCACCATACTTGGTATTTTAGCATAGAATGAGCTTGTACAAAAACTTTTTTTTTTACCTTAAATGCCAGTTTTTTGTTTGAAGAACTGTAACTTCCCCTCCACTTATAAATGAAATTTAAATTATTTCTTTCGACATTATTTCCCTTCGCAGCAGTCAACCAGTTTTCAAAATTTAGAAGAATGGTATTTGAATAACTAACAAAAAATTTAAACCTCACGTACAAAGATATATTTTTTTCAAAGTATCTATTTTAGACATTTAAAGCACAAAAATTTTTATATTATTTTCTCAGAAATGTTATTTATTTATTTATTTTTTGTTAAATTTATTAATATGAAATGCATGGAATTCTTATGAGGTTAATATCACTCTAATTTTTTTGGAATGATGTTGAAATAACAATTTAATTGCCTTGATCAACTCTTATATTCACCAAGAAAAAACAACAAAAAAAATGAATGGTTTTAAACTGATAGTTATTAAATATAATTACAATTTTATTTATTTCTCTGGGATAATTTGAATTAAATCCACTTGTATTAAAACAAAATACTTATCACATGGCGCCATCTATTATATTAAAAACAACTAAAATATCTCCGTAAAGTTCAATTTACTAACTTATAACATATGTCTTTGTGCTAATTTCATGTTTTTTTTTGCTTTTCATATTTAAAACATACAGGATATGTATTACATATTTTAAGTTAATATAGTATCTTATAAATTATTTGTTTTCAGATGATAAAGTCCTTTTCACATTAATCAAAAATTCTTTTCTAAGTTAATTGTTATATCTTTGTTGTAATTTCAAATAATTACTATTGATTAAATTTTTTGCTTCATTGTTAAATCTTTGTTTCCATAGTTTTGAATTTATAGCTGAATTCTATTAATATAGAAATAACAAGTTTTATTACTTAAAGCAAAACCTGAGTATCTAAGAAAATGACTTTATTATTTTACATAGATTTAACAATTGGAAACCTCTTTTATTCTAGAATTAAATAAAATAAAAATCTGCATAAAGTTAAATCTTAAAACATACAATTTATCTCAAGTGCTTTCTCAAAGCAATTATTTATTCATACATTTAAAAAATTCTATTTTTATGAAACTACAGAAGTTAAAATAAGCTCTATCTTTTATCCTTTTGTTTCTTAAAGGGGCTCTATATTTAAAATCAAATATCTGATTTTGATTCTTAGATTGAAGAAATGTGTTCAGGAGTAAAAATAAAAAAGTCTATAAAAAAACGTCTTCTCATTTACAATATACATTTATTTTATTGTAACTCATTATATTAGTGCACTTATTGCAATTAGTAACCTTGTATTATACAACATATTATAAACCAAATTTTAAGAATTATAAATGTGCTCTAAATGTTTTTTTTTACTGATGATTTTACTTTTTCGACTTTTCAAAACTATAGGTATGTTTTCCCCAAAAATATGACAAATTTTTTTAAAACTTTTTTACCAAAATACTATGACAATGATATCTGTACACATTCTAAAATCTCATTTATTAAATCTAAACTAAATCTCTGAAGTTTTTATTTGTTTGGTTCAGCAATTATACAATGGAAAAGATAAATAAATTTTCAAAATTGTAAAATCGCATAATGCAGTTAAAATTGAATCTTCCAAGCTACTTTATTTCAAAGAAAATATTTCATTTTCTTATATTATTTAATCTCAGGGGATATGAAGCTTCATAATTTAGATGTAAAAGCAAGAGTCAGTTACTAAAAAAGCAATAATGGAATCAAATTTCTTATCAAATTTAATACTTTTAATATTGATTAAAAATAAGTATTTATAAACATTAGGAGCTCATATGTAAAAGACTTAAAAGCAAATTTATTGGGAAAAAAAGAAGGGCTGAGCATTCTTGACAGTTAAATAGTATCTGCAGAAGCTATAAAAAAAGTGACTGTAAAAGTAAAGTATATACTAGCAATAAATATTATCAGTATTGTTAAATCATTTTCATTCAAAAAAAATGAACAATTCAAAAACAACTCATAAAATACAATGTAATTGGAAAAAAGAATAAAGGATAATAAAAATAACAATACCTGGCCTCTTCTAAAAAGACCTTTCTCGGATTCTGGATCAATTTCAAGAGCTTTATCACAGATTTTAATTGCTTCAATATAATGTTCTAACTTCAGAAGACAAAGTGCGGAATTTAGGTAACTTGATAAGAGAAGGGACTTTCTTTCATCTTCTGTGTCTGATGACACACCAGGTTCTTTCTCCAAGCACACAAGTATCCATCTGAACTGTTTAAGAGCTGCTCTAATTTTTCCAGCCTAAATATAAAAAATATTTTAATGAACAAAGAACATTAAAAAACCAAATATTTTTTCGAATAATATTCAAAGAAACAACAAAGCTTGAAAATGTAAGCGCATAAATTATTTCCATTAAGTGTTGAACATCTGGAACAAATTTACTGAAATATCCCTGTTTTCCAGAAAACTAGAGTTTTGATGCAGGCTGGATACAAGAAAACTTGCAGGTGGTAATTCAGACGACGTGGGGAAAACGCACTAATTAGGACTATAGAAATGCCTGATATTAGATCGTAATATAAAGTAACTAAATTTATACAAACTCTGGGGGAAAAAATTATAAGAAAATTATAGAAAATATGAAATTATTTTCATTAAGGCATAACTAATTGAATCATGATGTAACAAAAGAAATTATTATAAATTTTAGTTTTATAATAAAGATATACAGGAATTTCTGCAGCTTTCTGTTGAACAAACTGAAAGATCGAAGTTTTATTTAAAATTTGTGTGGATATTTCACATACATAATCATATTCAGGTTAATGCTTATGAATATGCCATAATTTGAAAGACTACACTGTATTTAAAACTTTTTAAAAAATATAACTTTACCACCTTAACAAAATTGTTTGCAACTAAACTATTTTATAATAAAGTTAAAGTTCTAGTAATAAGGAGAGTATTCACAAAAACAATGACATTTGCAATTTAATTACATAAGTTTTCATATTAGAACATTCATATCATTTATCTACCAATGTAAAAATATAACTATGTCAATCATATTAAACTGTTTAAAAAAAATTAAGAATTTCATGTCAAATGATTTATTTGATTTGTAATCTTATACAATCTAATCAACAATCAAATCTGGTGCAATCTATGCAATTTGACCTGATGCAAATGATAGGCAAAACATAATATTTTGCACATAGCTTTCTTTAATCAATGCTATCTTTATATTGGAATAAATAACACACTAAAAATAATAATAGTAATAAATAATAATAAATATTTTTATTTATGTTTCTTGCATTACTTTCTGTGTTACTTATCTAAATGTTTTTAAATTTTACAAACTCATGGAATTTGCAGTTTCTTAAATACGCAGAATTTTTATAAAAATAACACTTAACTCTTCTTTCTAAGAATAACACTTAACTTTACATTATATTACAAAAAATCAATGAGTATATGAACATACTCAACTTTCTAGTTTAATTTTTGAACAATAGAACTCCAATTTTTTTAATATTTATTAATGGTTGTGCATAAAACAATAGTTGAAAAGTAATTATCATTATAGTATTGCAATAAGAATGTTAATGCATGATGACTAAACACAAATATATAAAATTAAATTGAATAAAGAATAAAATTCCCTCATTTATTCAAATAAATAATATATATTTGTGTTCATCTCAGTAAAACATACTTGAATAAATGAGATCCCTTTTTCTTTACAAGCTTTAGCTCTTGAAAGTTTCTCATCACTATCCATTTCCCAAACATCTTTGGCCTAAAAAATTCAAAACAAAATAAAATGAAACATAATAAAGCAAATGAATAATAAGAATTGAACTGAATTGACCGAAAAAAGTTTTTACAATTTTAAACCTGGAACAGAATCTTTTTCAAAAAAAGAAATTACTATTGTGCAATAAATATATATAAAATAAAGGAAAAAGCTAACCTTTCGACTAAGTGGTGAAAAGATTAATTTTATGCTATGTACATGTGCAAACTTAATATTGTGAAGATAGCACAAATAATACCATATAAAAAACTATACCAAAGTTGTTAGTCCATAATGAAGAACTTTCTTTAAAAGCCGAACACAGAAGGAAATGAGGAAACACAAAAAAGATGCATAAAAAATTACAAAAAAGTTATAGCTTACTTGTAATTTTCTTCTATACAATTTAATTATGGGACGGAAGCTGTACAAAATTTGCCTAACTCTTATTGAAGCCAGTCATGCTAAATTAATTTTGGTAATAGGTATTACTAATATTGCTGTATTAGGTATTTTGGAAATGCACCTGACATACTTATAGAGGTAGCTTTTATATAAACTGTGGTAATAGGTTTTTAACAGTTCCCCAAAACAGAATAATGCTTTTTCCTTGTGCTTCCTTAGTTCATTCTTTGTTCAAACACTGAAGAAGGAATATAGAATTGAAACTAGAGCATGTATGTTTATTTGGCATTGTTTGTAAAAAAATATTTAATCAAATTTCAGCTGAGATTAAGTCACTTAAAAAAAAAAGAAAACAAGAGTAGAAATAAAGTGATTGAGCATGACTGTCATGCTGAAAATTTGCATAAAATATTTCCTGGCATTTAAAAACTAAATTATTATCTTATTTAATCATTTTACAATAAATAAAAATCATGAATATAATCAGCAATCTTTTTATACCACAACCTTGAATTGAGTGCAAAATAAAATCTATTTTAAGAGATTCCCTCTACATCTGCATAACACATTAGCATAGAATTCAAAAACCATTATATGGTTGCTAGTGTTTTGAATTCATTAAAATTATTTATTATTTCTCGCACTTTCTTTTCCGCCAACACATTTGAATGCATAAGACTAAGAAAGAGAGCCTTGGCAATAAATAAAATCAATTAATAGCCAATACATGTATTTCTTAACTTTCCTTGGCAAAAATTATTCCAATGTATACATGTCACTCTCACTTTTGATTTCTTAGTGGACGGAAGTGTCTCGTGGGGCTTAGCCCTACAGCCGCATCCCCCGGGGCCAAAGAATTCAAATGTACATAAAAATTCAATGTACAGAATATAATAATTCAAATGTACATAAAAAATGAACGCTTCCCTTTACTTTAGAGCTAAATCCATATGTTTCAAAAATAAAAAAATTTATTTTTATTGTCTTTCAAATCAGATTCTTGAAACAAAGTATGGACATTTAAAAATAAATACATCAATTTCTTCAATGGAAACTTAACATCATCAACACCTTCAACCTTTTCATTATGAGTAATTTAACAAATTCAACAAAATTTCATGGCAACGATAAACATGGAATAGAAAATAAAGGAGTTGGAGACTAAAAAATATTGTGTTATAGTATTTGTGTAAAGTATATACAAATTATCAAACTTATAAATATTACAAATTGAGTGTAATTTAACAATGTTAGGTCATTTCAAATTTGTGTGAAGAAAAACAATTATATAAATAGAAGGTGTGTACCTAAAACAAAAACTTAAAATACTTATTCGCTAAAAAAATATCAAACTTGTATTTTATTACCTTTACAAAGTGCTTCTGCAACTTTATTTGCAGGTGTAATAAATTATCAGTATAATTTAAAAATAAATACATGAATTTTCTCGTTATTAGAATGAATGAACTTTTATTAAAAATTTTATACATATTAAACTACTTATTCATCATAAAATAAAAGTAAAAACAGAATTTTAGTATAGCAGAAAACTTAGTAAAAACAGAATTTTAAACAGGATCCAGCTTTCATAACATATTTATAAATAAAAAATTAGTCAAATATTTCATAACCATAATACTAATGTTGAACACAACAACATAGAATTTGTATTAATTTTGTAGAAGTGATTACTAGTCAAGAAGTTTTTACATCATTAAAATAAGAAATAAATGGCATTTTTATCAACTATACGAATTTTAATTTGCATAAAAAAATTATCATTTCATAGAAATTTATGCTACATAGTTGCAAAAGAAAAAAAAAAGAGTTAATCTTCATGTGAAAAATTAATAACATTAAACAATAACACTATTCATGAGAAAAAATAAATTAATGCAATTATAATGTGAATAAGTAAGGGCAACCACTAAAATAACTCATTGCAAAAATCAAATAAAACTATTTCAATTTGAAACAATTCTATTCAGTAAAACAAAACAAAAACAAGAAAACAACAAACAAACAAAAAAGCATTAATCTGCACCAGCCTGTCAAAGGCTAGCAGAGAGTCAAGGAAGTTAAAGCTCTATAGTTTCAAGACCATCAGCATGATGAGTGCAATATGATCAGCATTGCCTACAAACCATTTTTACTTCCACGACAAACTGGTACATATTGAGTTAATTGACCCTCCTACAAAACTTCTTATTTACAGCTTAGTGCCTTAAGTGCTGAACCATTGTTGCTTCAGTATATTCAGCATATTACTTTGAATGTAAAGGTTAATTCATGTTATATTTGATCAATCAAGTTTAAAGTAGATGCAAGTTTTTATGTAAAGATTTTTCACAGTGCAATTAATGTATTTCAAAATTTTAGCAAACAAAAATTCTGAAATACTTGTAAAGAAAACTTATTAACAAATGTCATTACATCAAAAATGAATTAAAATCAATACAGAACAATTGATAACTAATTCACTCTAAATGTACCTTTTCGAATTCCAAAAGAGTAACTACATACTGAACATCAGCATCAGGAGGAATGTCATATTCATCAGAGCCTTTTTCAAATGCATATTGGCTCTTCAAATAAATCATAGACTTTTCTTTTAAATGGAACCTTAGAAGGGCGACTTCGACTCCTTCAGGAATATTCAAAATGCAACCTTCACCAAGAATGAACTCTTTTTCTGTGTCCTCAAAAATTTTATCATCATATGATCCAACAAGCTTAACTAAAAAGAAAAGCTGAAGTTAAATAAAAAGAAATTAAACCAATTAATAACAATTAGATTTAGTTGGCACTACATGATAAAAAAAATCAAAATACTGTTATATTATTTAAACATAAAAATAAAATTAAAACTAAAATACTTTATAAATTTACAAAAAAATAACTCCTAAGTTGAAAAGATAGCTTTCAAATTTTGACATAATATTAAATTATAATTCAACATTTTTTCATCAAATGCAAAAGTTTTAAAAAACTAATTCATATTTACAAAATTAAAAAAGAATATAAATCTAAATATGCTGTAAGAACCTACCACACCTATGAGGGAAATAAAAATACTTTTGGGGAAATATTTATAAATACAATTCACAAGTTAAAAAAATAAGAAACCAAGTTTGGGAACAAAATAAAATATTAGATTAAATAATATATTATATTGCTTTATTGAATATTTTATATTTAAAAAAAATTTGTTACTCATTTATAGTCCATTCCACCTTAAGTTGGCACTGGAGAGAAAGGTAGGTAGACCGGATTACATGGAAACTGGGTTACTCTTTAAGTCAGTACGGGGATGAGGTAGCAACAAAGGGAGAGAAAGTGGCCAGTATTGGCGTTTAAGAAAGCAAAACGCCGATTTTTTTTTAAAAAACCAAGAATCGTACTAAAATTTTGTACAGAATACGGAAAAGAGCACGATTTTTTAGAGCATTTCTCATAATCATTATTTTAAGATACTAGTTGTAAGCTGATTTCTTAATTAGTATTTAAAAAGCAGATTTTCTTATTATGATTTTTTAACTAAACGAAACTAATTTTAAACAGAAAAAAATATATATATTTAAAAATATTCTTTTTTGCTGAAATCTAAGTAAATAAAAAAATCAATGCATAGATGCGCAAAAATACTTTGTTTTAAATATTTATTTTTATATTCTTATTCTTATTTTTTGTAGATTAATGTACATTAATTTATCCCACATTGGTGATTTGTTGGGGAAGGAAAAGTCAGCATAGGCTGGAAATTATTGATCATGAAAAAGATCATACTTATGTTTTATAATACTTACTGTTTTTTTTTCTTATTATAATTTTTTAATTAAACGAA